CCAACACCAGTGTGTAAAGCGCTTTGGAGTCCTTAGGGACTAAGTAAAGCGCTATACAAATACAGGCCATTTACCATATATATGCAATAGCGATCTCAGCAAAACACAAAAAAACCCAACAATTACAAGAACTTCAGTGACGTGAACAAGAGACAGTTTGCTCTAAAGAGCAGAAGGCAGGACTTTAGGGATTGGGCATAGTAGCAGACACTGTCGAGTTAATTTGATATTAGACTGTCAGTAAACATGCATGCAGCTTGTGTTTGGTCTCAGGGGGTCGAGGTTATAATAATGGAAAGGTCAGCAGTTTGATCCCTGGCTTCTCCGGTCTATATGTCAAAGCATCCCTTCACAAAATTACTGAAGCCCAAATTGTCCAAATGTATCCATTGGAGTGGTTATGTGATAGGTAGAAACTGTTTAGAGGTCTAAAATACGTGTGCAAACGTAGCTTAAAACTGAATATTGGTAAATTTTGATTTTAAAAGTCAACAACCAATGAGAGCGATGTGAACTGTTAGCCAAAGTCATGCATCCTGAGATTTGCACAGGGATAGTTGTAGACCGAAAGAAAGAAGCCGAACATTTTGAGATTAAAGTTTATGGAAGTACATCAGCAATGATAACATATGCTCACTTGATCTTTTAATCAGGTATGATCAAAGAGTTTCTCTCAATATCTGAGCCACAAGAGAGCCGACTATCACACCAAACACTGGATGTTGGAGGATGATGACGGAGTGAATGTTAATCAATTGGATATTCTTCATCCCGCAACCCAGTTTATCGACAGAAGAGACAAATTCAGAGAAGAGAACTGTATTTCAAAAGGTTTTATTAACATACTTTTTCCATTTAACCAGCCTGTACATTTAGTACTAAAAGGCCCTTGTACACTGACCTACCACATTATTAGGTACAGTCTAATGGAATCCAATACTGTTTAAGTGAATGTTATGGTCTAAATTTTTAGGAATACCTAAAAGTAATGCAGCCCAGCAAACAACTATACAACACAAACATTAAGAAACATTAAGAAAAGCTTAAAAATGTTTTTAAAAAAGGACCATAGCTTTCATAAAGCTGATAGATTCAAATGAATTGGATCTCATAAATGTATCTAATAATGTGGCTATAAAATGTAAATGCACAGAAAGAAATCTGATCTTTAGACATTATGTGACAGCTGTTATTGAGGTGAGAAAGTAAAACAATTCAAACACAGAACACATAAACTTGAACTTTTGTCGGCGTAATGAAATGAAACTTCTCTTTAGGTTGAAGTTCACTTTAAGTTTTACAAGCTCAACATCTGACCAACGGATAAACAAATAAAGCTGAATAAACACTTTAGTGCAGAAAAGTTTGAAGATGTTGCGATTTTTCTTTTTTGCCAAACCACAGAAATCTGACAGACACTATATGGACAAAAGTATTGGGCCACACGTCTTAATCTTTGAAGTAAGGCGTTTTGCCACAGGTATTTAAAATCAACCATCCAGTTATTCAGTCTGCCCATACAAGCATTTGAAAAATAATGAGTGTGGTACTTTAATGGGATGCCACAGATATAACAAGTCTGTTTGTGAAATTTCTTTCCTCCTACATATTCCACAATCAGCTGTAAGTGGTTTTATGTCAGACCACATACCCTAATACAGCAATGTGGGTTCTCCAAATGCTGAGGCACAGTAATAGTCACCATCACTCTGCTGACTGAGATCCAAACCTCCTCTGGCATTAACAGCAGCACAATCATGTGCACCAGGAGCTTTTTGGTATAGGTAGGTGTAATGTGTAAGTAGCCCACTACTTCTGCTATTACAGTGCATTTTTGAGAGTCCTCATTTAAGTCTTCCTTTATGTACAACTTTTCTATGCATCATAGAAAGCCGTTTGCATATCAAAGTTTTGTTACTTTGGCTGTCAATGTTACACAATCCCACCCCCACATTTACTTTTAGGCCCACAGTTATTCTACTACAGCACCAATCTATATTTTTTGACATTCGTCAAGTTCTTTACTGCCTTTTTTGCACATTACTTGTACTCAAACCTAAATAGGGTACTACTTTTTGTTTTCCATTAAATTTTGCAGGAATCTTTGACATTAGGCACACAAACAGGATCACTGAAAGCTGTGCTTCATTTGTTAAATTGCAGCTCAAATGTAACACAGATGGCAATTTCCATAAAATTTGGTTTGGCTTTGCTCTTAGTTTAACTCAATCTGTACCGTTTTTCTTTGCCTCCAACGCATTTTCCAGCAAGAACTCAAATCTGCTGCTGTTGAATTGATGGGATTTCTAAGGTAACAGGAGTGCACAGATAGAAGTCAACAAAATAAATGATCTAGTTTTACCTCGAAAACTTGAATTACAAAAACAAAATAAAAAACACTCACTGAAAAATGTTACCATGCTAATTGTGTGTAATCCTGAGTCCTGAATAAACCACTGAAAATATTCTGAAAATTCCTTCTATGAATTTTCTAACTTCCCTTGTAAGGAACAAACCCCGTGTGTATCACTTCTTTAAATATAAATAAAGGCTGAACATTATTCTCCTTTTAGATACTATAACTAAAACTCAATGATACTATGATGCAACTTCAGTAACTAGTCGAGACTCAAGAATTTATTTCCCACAAACCTGTGGCTTTGGTACAGCTGGTAGTGCTCGAGTATAACTTCAATTGTATATGGAGTTTGGCAACTTGATGACCCTGGCATTGGACTTGTAGCAGTGTCTCCACTGTGTAAACAAAGACATATGTACTTCTTGTCCAAGTAGTTTGGAGAGTTGGCAAAAAGGCCTGAGGACAGGTGGGTAGACGGGTAGTATGTGGTACTAAAATATTTACCCAAAGTTCAAATACATAATCACCAAATTCAAGAAAACAAAGAAACCAGCACCACAACATATAACTGGGATAGAGGCCCACACCACACCGCATGAATACATTAGTTAAAGTGCTCAAAAGGATAAGAGTGACTAACAGCTAACAAACAAAGCTTGAATGAAAAAGCAAAGTGAGGAAAACAAAACCCACATTCAGAGTTAGAAACACATTTCAAATGCATTAACAGAGAATGGCCTCTACGCTGAGTGAAGATGGCACATTCAGAAGCTTTCACAAGGCCGCTGATAAGCAAAAGATCCGTTATTCAGAATGAGCCAAAGAAGCTCAGCAGTGAACCTTCAAAGGCTTCACTCATCATGTGGTTTTATGTAGATTCATAAAAAAGGTTTTAAAAGGAGAATCTGAGAAGGAAAAGAAGCATTTTGGAAAAAAGGCAAGGAGAGAAGAAATTAAAGAAAAACTCTAAACGCAGGGTTGAGCTGTCTCCAGATGGCAACTCTTATGTTCCATCTCTCACAGAACGCAGTAAGTAGGCCAGGACGACTCGTAACAAACCATGTGGAGCAGAGCGACATCGGCGCATTGCCCTGACCGTCCGCAGTGCCCTTCGGCTAATAGGGGTCGCTGAATTAGAGGTGAGCTACAACAGATTTCTGAGTGGGGAGTTTTCCTCCTGTAGGGACAGAAAATATGTGCATTTTAAAGCAAACCCAACAAATATGCAGTCTGGTTATTTAGACACAAACTGACAGCTTATTTCTTACCAAGAGTGTCTTCCAAGGAGTTTAACATCACCTTGTTGAGTTTTAAAGTCCCCTGTTCCTCACCTCTGAAGGAAAAACATTGAAGCAATAGTTGTTACTTTCAAGACAAAAAAAAAGAAAAAAAAAAAGACTTAATCAAAATGTAGTTCTAGTGGCACTTTGTAGCGTTCACTGGATAGTCCAATATTAAAGGGATGCCTCCCACATTTCTTAAAAATCAGTGTTGCAGAGGCATTGTGAGCTGGAAGTATAAATTACAGGAATGATATCAACACTAAAGCAAATAAAATCCAAACCATCTGCCAGACTAGATAACAGAGATAAGAGAGGTAATATATTTTTGGATGAAATTAAGGCTACGTTCACACTGCAGGTCCATCCATCCATCCATCCATCCATCCATCCTTTTTTATTCTGGGTGTCTTCTTGTTTCAGATAAACTGTGAAATTAACTGGTCTATTTTCTTAAAAGTTTTTGTGATCAATATTGGGATACATTGAAACAAAAATAAAAATTTGGGTAAAGTGCTCATCCTAAAGATGTGATCGATTTGGCCAGAATTCTGCCTCATTGTCACATATGTTTTGGACATGTCCTAATATCGCTACTTACTGGTCTAAAATATTTAAAACTTTGTCTGATATTTTTAAAAAAAAAACAGCTCCCCCCAGACCCGGTAATGGCTACAGTTAAACACTTAAATAATAAACAAATTCGTGCTCTGAGTTTTATAACATTGCTTGCAAGACGCCTTATAC